TTCGCGACCGCCGGAGGCCCGTTTGGGCCGGTGGCGACAAGGATAAAATCCTCGAATAAAACAGGGAGTTAAAGAGCAAAATGACCAAATTGAGGATGTAAAAACTCAAAAAGATTCCTCTGACATAACTAATATTTCAGTTCCAGAAGAAACTCAGGTACCTGAAATTATTGAAAATGAAGAGATCTCAATAAATTATGTCATAAATGGAATACAATGGAATCGAAACAATGTCAATATTGATGACGTGTTTGCATTAGCGTTAAATGAAATAATGATATTGAGGATCAAGAACCAAAATCCAGCAACGATTGTCGACAAAGAAATGATTGGCCAAAATGAAAAGATGCAATTGAGGCAGAATTAGACTCGCTTGCTAAGCGAAAAGTTTTTGTACCAGTACTACGTACATCAAAAGGTGTAAAACCAATTGGATACAAAGACCCGGTATTGATTTTGAAGAGACATATTCACCTGTAGTGGATGCAAACACTTTTCGATATTTAATTAGTTTGGTTGTACATGAAAAACTTAATTTACATCTAATGGATGTAGTTACAACATATTTATATGACTCTCTTGATGCTGACATTTATATAAAACTCCTAGAAGGATTTAATTTGCCTGAAGATGCAATTTCTAGAAAAGATTATTCGATCAAATTGAATAAGTCCCTATATGGGCTAAAGCAACTAGATCGTATGTGGTATAATCGACTAAGTGAATACTTTTTACAAGAAGGATATAAAAATGATCCAATTTGTCCGTGTATATTTATAAAAAGATCTGAAAACGGATTTTCCATAATTGTAGTTTATGTAGATGACATAAACATTATTGAAACTCTTGAAGAGCTTTCAAAAGCAATAGATTACTTAAAGAAAGAATTTGAAATGAAGGATCTAAGAAAGACAAAGTTTTGTCTAGGACTGCAAGTTGAATACTTAGAAAATGAAATTCTTGTGCATCAAGAAGTTTATATAACAAAGGTGCTTAAAAGGTTTTATATGGACAAATCACATCCATTGTGCAATCCCATGATTGTAAGATCTTTAGATGTTAACAAAGATCCATTTAGACCCCAAGAAAAAGGATGAAGAAATACTTGGTCTCGAAGTATCATATCTTAGTGCTATAGGAGCACTAATGTACCTTGCTAATTATACACAACTTGATATAGCATTTGTTGTTAATTTGTTAGCAAGATATAGTTCTTCACCTACACGAAGACATTGAAATGGAGTTAAACAAACCCTTCGTTATCTTAGAGGTACAATGGATATGGGGTTATTATATTCAAATGTTCCCAAACCAGAACTAAATGGTTATGCAGATGCAGGTTATTTGTCAGATGCTCATAATGGTAAATCACAAACAAGATATCTTTTTACAAGTGGTGGTACAACCATTTCATGGCGATCTGTAAAACAAACCATATCATCCACTTCATCTAATCATGCTGAAATTTTAGCATTACATGAGGCAAGTCGTGAATGTGTTTAGCTAAGATCTGTGATTCAACATATACGAGAAACTTGTGGTTTATCTTCTGAAAAAATGACATCGACAATTATATATGAAGATAATTGAAAGATGGATACATAAATGGAGATAGAACAAAACATATTCTACCAAAATTCTTTTTTACTCATGATCTTCAAAGGAATGGTGATATAAATGTTCAACAAGTCCGCTCAAGTGACAACCTAACAGATCTCTTTACAAAGTCACTTCCAAGAAAAGTTTTTGAACATTTGATACACAAGATTGGAGTCCGTCGTCTTAAAGATTGTATGCATGCGGGGGAGAAATAAATATTTATGAATGATGTACTCTTTTTCCTTCACTAGTTTTTTAACCCACAGGGTTTTTCCTAGTAAGGTTTTAATGAGGCACATTCTAAATATTGGACATCCAAGGGGGAGTGTTATGAATAATAATTAGTGGCTTAATTAGTGGATGCCAATATTCCTTTTCAATTATTACCATTTTTATGTCCGTTATTTATTATTCTCTTTATTGTGTAATTGTTCAGTTACCACATGTACTTATAAATAAGTTACTCCTCTCCCAAAGATAATAAACCAATCAGATTCTTTTCTCCATCTCTTATTATTTTTTTTGTTCTCTCTACTTTTCTCTTTTATAACAGTGTATGTTTTTTTGTAAAAAAAAATTAATTTTTAACAAATACAGGTATACTCGATACTTCATAAGAATGACAATGAAACAAAAATTACATACTAGACAGATACAAGAACGAAGATAAATTTAAACCATATAGACAAAGACCCGTTTTGTTGTCATGCATGATAGCCCCACACTAGTGGGTTTTCAGGCAGCCATTGTTTGATGGCTGATGATAAACACACCTCCACTCTCGTATAAAAACACCCCCTTTTTAAAAAATATATATATAAAATGTCTAAATTACCCTTTTAAAAAAAATGAAATTCCTAAATTTACACCTCCCTTCCCCGCACCCCACACTCCACACCCCTCTTCTTCCCAAAGTCTTTTTCTGCTCAATGTCATTAAGTAATATACTTTTACAATCATTCTGAATAGAAAAAAAGGACTAGCCCTACCATAACCAGTATAAGAAAGGATCTTTTACAATCATTAGCATTCCGGAAAGTACTTTTACAGTCATTAGCATTCCGGAAAGTACTTTCCGGAATAGTAAAATTATTGTTCATATAATTCCGGAAAGAACTTTCCGTAATAGTAACTTTAATATTATGGAAAGTACTTTCCGGAATTATGTAACAAAACATTTCCGGAAAATACTTTCCGGAATAAGAATTTAATATTATGGAAAGTATTTTCCGGAACATTTTTATATAATTCCGGAAAGAACTTTCCGTAACAGTAAGAAGAAGAAGAAGAGGAGTGCCAGAAAGAGAAAGAAGAGGGGTGTGCGAGGTGCGGGAAAAAAGAAGAAGAAGAGGAGTGCCACAAAGAGAAAGAAGAGGGGTGCGCAATGTCAGCAGGTGGTCTTGTAAGAGAAAGACTCTTACTTGTTCTATGGAAAGAAACACTAGTACAAAAATGACTTTTAAAATCGGGGTTTTAAAATCAGTCATAGGGTAGCCATTTTAAAAGTGACGCGGTGGCCTGTACTGCAACAGAACGGCCCCAGAACGGCCCGTTCTGCAAGCAGAACGACCTGTACTGCTTTCAGTACGGTCCGTACTGCAAGCAGAACGGCCTGTACTGCTTGCAGAACGGCCTGTACTGCTTGCAGAACGACCTGTACTGCTTTCAGAACTGGCCGTACTGCTTGTAGAACGGGCCGTACTAATTTCAGAACGGGACGTTCTGAAAGCAGAACGGGCCGTTCTTCTTGCAGAATGGCCCGTTCTGGTGCCGTTCCAAACTAAAGTTTACATGTAGATACAGGATAAGGGGGGTGCGGAGAAAGGAGGTGTAAATTTAGGAATTTCATTTTTTTTTAAAGATAATTTAGATATTTTATATATTTTTTTTAAAAAATGGGGTGTGTTTATACGTGAGTGGAGGTGTATTTATCATTTGATAATAGTCCAACTAATTTGGCCAGGCCATCCCAAAGGCCCATTCCGGAGCAGGCGAACGCATCGCAGATTCACACTTCCGAACACCCAACTCCGTTGTGCACTGAACCAGTGAGAACTCAGAACTCAGAACGCAGAAGCATCTTCAAAACCCCATACTCATAAACACACAACCATCACTATCCCCCTCTTCACACCCGATCAAATTCAACGCAAGAAGCAAACAAACGCGCCACTTCTGAAACCATTTTTGAAAACCCTCTCGATGCCCCGACCCAGACCAACCGATTCATGAATCACACAATGGAGGAGGCCGTAGCCGAAACCCCCGTTAGGTCGAGAGGGTTTAAATACCCATCATCGATAAACCCTAACAAACCTCCCCAACCGAACCAATTCCCCTCCCACCTCGACGCCCCCAACGTCTCGTCAACAGCGGGAACCCTATGCGACATTCTCACCCGAACCTCTCCTCAAGACATCGAATCCGCGCTCTCGTCCTCCGGAATCGTTCCCTCGGACGAGTGCGTCAACGAGGTCCTCAGACTCTCGTACAATTACCCTTCCTCCGCCGTCAAGTTCTTTCGGTGGGCCGGATGCGGGAAAAAGCACCCGGCCCACACGTGGAACTTGATGGTGGACCTGCTGGGTAAAAACCAGCTCTTTGAGCCCATGTGGGACGCCGTTAGGTCCATGAAACAGGAAGAGAAGCTATCGCTTTCCACTTTTGCCTCTGTTTTTCAGAGCTACTGCACTGCTCGTAGGTTTAACGAGGCTGTTATGAGCTTCGATGTGATGGACAGGTACGGAGTCAAGCAGGACTTGGTCGCTGTCAACTCGCTGCTCAGCGCGCTGTGCAGCGAAGACAGCCAGACCACGGCCGGCATTGAATTCTTCAACAGGATCAAGGCGAAGGTATCGCCAGATGGCGACACCTTCGCCATCTTGCTTGAAGGATGGGAGAAGGAAGGCAATGCTGCCAAAGCTAAGACCACTTTTGGTGAGATGGTGGTTTGCCTTGGCTGGAACAAGGACAATGTTGCCGCCTACGATGCGTTTTTGATGACCCTCCTTCGCGCCGCCTTGATGGATGATGTTGTGTTGTTCCTTCAGGTTATGAAGGACCATGATTGCTTTCCAAGCTTGAAATTGTTTACCAATGCGCTTGATGTTCTAGTCAAGCGAAACGATGCTGATCACGCCATCCCCATGTGGGATGTGATGGTCAGTGGTGGGCTAGTGCCTAATTTGATTATGTACAATGCCATGATTGGGTTGTTATGCAACAATGCTGAAATTGACCATGCGTTTCGGCTGCTCGATGAGATGGCCTTCCATGGCGCTTTTCCAGACTCATTGACTTATAACATGATCTTTGAGTGCCTGGTGAAGAACAAAAGGGTTCGCGAGACAGGGAGGTTCTTCGCTGAGATGGTCAAGAACGAGTGCCTGCCCACGAGCTCTAACTGTGCTGCAGCCATCGCAATGTTGTTTGATTGTGATGACCCCGAAGCAGCACATGAGATTTGGAGTTATGTTGTCGAGAATCAAGTCAAGTCGCTTGATGATAGTGCAAATGAGTTTCTCGTTGGTCTTTGCAACTTGAGTAGAATCTCGGAGGCGAAAAGGTTTGCTGATGATGTGCTGGATAGAAGGATCAATATATATGAATCTACCATGATGATACTGAAGGATGCCTTCTATAAAGAAGGTAGAAGTGGAAGAGACAGATATGATAGTCTGCATAGGAGGTGGAAAGCTCATCTCAACTTGTAATCTAGAAAGTATTTGCTCTAGCTTTATGATTTTAAATTTTTGGTATGCTCAACCTTTGTTGCCAAAGACAGGCAGGGTTTGCTTGTTCTTGACTGTTTTGGTGGCGTTGCCATAAAAATAGTGTACTGCAAGTTTTATCATTTTCTCTCCATGGCAGCTTTTCCTTTTGATAGCCTTTTTTCCTAGTAGTTATATTTCCTTTTTAATTCCTTTTCTTCTTATATTAAATGTTTGTATTAATATTCTTTTAGGGTAGTCACACTGCAACTTGGATGAAGTTATCAGTTGTTCATGAATCGTAGCCATTTAGCATGCATATTTTTTAGTCAAGTATGAATGATTGTAATAAAAAATGATCAGTATGAAATGCTTTCTGTAAATATTTATGTTTGGTCATCAATTTATGATTTTGATGCTGGTAATGTCTCCCATTTTTGGTTAATATTTCGTGGTGCTGGTAGTTGGTTCTTTTTTGGCCCTTTTCATTAAAATCATGCATCTTAGAACAAAGTCTCAAATTGAGTTTCCTTGTTTCATGTTCCTATATGGTAATTTTATTATCTATATTTGTACTTAGCTATCAATTTATGATTTTGATGCTGGCAATGTCTCCCATTTTTGGTTCATATTTCGTGGTACTGGTAGTTGTTTCTTTTTGGCCCTTTTCATTAAAATCATGCATCTTAGAACAAAATCTCAGATTGAGTTTCCTTGTTTGATGTTCCTACATGGTAGTTTTATTATCTGTGTATAGGGATGACAATTTTCTCTGAAATCATGACTGTCCCATTAGATGCCCTAAGTTTATGGATTGTTACCCCGTGAAGATGGGGAACAAAAATCATCTGAAATATAAATATATATATATATATATATATATATATATACATATTTATAATTTTAAATTCAGTAGAAAAGACTTAAATTTATTAAATACTCTTATTTTTTTATTATTCCCTAGTGGTATAAGTAAGGCTTTTGGTGTTGTATGCTTATTTTTTATTATTTGAATTTTCGATAATTGATTATTATATTTTTGTTAATGTTGAGCATCTTGTGGGGATTCTTTGCAAAATGGGAACATGGGGGAAATATTGCTTTGAAATGGGAAACAAGGATGGGGATGGGGAGCCCTTGTTCGCCTTTTAAAAGCCCATCATTCAAAAACATTCTTCTTATAATACTCGAATTATGATAGGTTTGTACGAAAGTTGTATGGAAGTCAACTTTTGGGTAAGTTAATTTGTGGCACATGTTGCTATGCTCCGTGGGGACTCAATTGTAAATTGGAAACCTGGGGAAAAATTACTGAGATTGGAAACTAGGATGAGAACGAGGAGAATAGGGGAAGGGAGAGAAAAGGCACCCTCTACCCCCACTCTTCATTCTTGTCATCCCTGTATGTGGGCTTTAATGCATGTGCGTCATATTTTTATCTCATGTCATATATTTATGTTTTCATTTCCTTTGTTGTGTAACTAGGGCCATTGTTTGATGGACCATAACTTAGATCCAAATTGTAGAGTTAAATGATAAAACTCCTTTAGTGGCTTGGTTTCTGACACTAGGGGGTATAGCTTTTCTCTTGTTCAGTTTCACACACTTAGATTGACATTTCAAATATTATATGAATGGAGAGATATGCATACTCAAACATTCTTTTTATAATACAATGATAACAAAGCCTTATCCCATTGAGTAAGGTTGGCTTCATGGATCACATGATGTCATTGGGATCAGCTAAAGACAAATTCTCAAAAATATTATCCAGTGTGAGGCCCCTTTTAACAATTTCATCCAATGTCTTTCTTAGTCTCTCCCTCCTCCTTTTCATGGAGCTGAAGACCATGCAATGTACTCCTCAATTGTGCTGCTAGTGACTTTTTTTTTTTTTTTTTTTTTTTTTTTT